TGGAAATAAAATTAATCCGTGCAAGACACCCAAAAGTATGAAAAAAAATTTTTTACCACAAAAAAATGTTAATTTTAAGTACACACAAACTGAAAAAGGCATGCACAATTACATGACACTTACTTTTATTGAAGATCTGGTGATGATTGATGGGATGGGAGGAGGGGAGAGCATTATCTTCTTACTGTTTAGAAGGGGAATCCCCTTCCATTAGGACTTGAGGTAGCAAGTCCTTTTCTGGGGTTACTTCCCTTCTTCTTTTAATGCCACTAGGACCAGCTTGAGAGTCACTGGACCTCTGTCTCACAACAAATCTGTCCATAGAGCTCTGTACCTCCCGTTCCTTCAAGACTTTCCTAAAATGGGCCATAACATTGTCATTGAAATAGTCACCAGCACGGCTTGCAACAGCTGTGTCAGGGTGATTTTCATCCATAAAGGTTTGCAGTTCAACCCACTGTGCACACATTTCCTTAATTTTTGAAGTAGGCACAATGGATTCCACAACTGGCATAGGCTTCTCAGGGTTAGCCCCAAACCCTTCAAAATCTTTCTTAATTTCCATACTAATTCTCACCCTTTTTACCACAGGGTTGGCACTAGAAGCTTTCTTGGGGCCCATGGTCACTTATTTTCCAGAAACAGCACCGAAAACACTGTAATAATACGAAATATTCCGAGTGTATGCTTGAATGTTACCGCGGAGGCTAGCTGGTAAACAATGGGACGGGCGGCACGTGAGGCTGGCTGAGGGCCCACATTGGACGCGTCTCGGACGAAGTTCGCTGAGCGGGTTTTTGTCTACTATGCGGGGCAAAATTTCAGCGAACAAAGCGTTCGCTATGCGGATTGTTCGCTATGCAAGGCGTTCGCTATGCGGGGGTCCACTGTATTTTTATTCATATATACTTCTAAACTGTTGTATTCTGGGCACCCCTGCAAAAGCAGTGATTATGTGTCAGTGAGGTGAAAGTGTTAAATGATGATGAAAGTATTTTCTTTTTGTAGATTTTCTTTCTCTTTGGGTCACCCTGCCTCGGTGGGAGATGGCCGACTTGTTGAGAGAGAAAGAAGAAGAAAAAAAAAAAAAATCAGGGAAACCGGTTATTTTTATATAGCTGGACTTGAGTCCTGGAAATGGGAAGTACAATGCCTGCACTCTAAAGGAGGGGTTCAGGATATTGGCAGTTTGGAGGGATATGTTGTGTATCTTTATACGTATATGCTTCTAAACTGTTGTGTTCTGAGCACCTCTGCAAAAACAGTGATTATGTGTGAGTGAGGTGAAAGTGTTGAATGATGATGAAAGTACTATTTTCTTTTTGGGGATTTTCTTTCTTTTTGGGTCCCCTTGCCTCGGTGGGAGACAGCCGACTTGTTGAAAAAAAAAAAATAATAATGTATTTTCTTCTTTGGTCACCCTGCCTTGGTGAGAGATAGCTGTTGAGTTAAAAAATATAATAAAAAATACTAATAATATTTTATTTTCCAATAAGAAAACAAGGTCTTTCACTAACCTTTTTGGATTGCATATCAAAGCCACACATACTATCCATGAGAGTCTGCAAAAATAAAAATCAATAATTCATACAGAAATAAAGCAAATTTAAAAAATCTAAATACAGTGCTGTACTGTATACATATTACTACAATGTTAGGCATTTAAGTATACTGATATGTTATTAACTGACAAATTAGAAATTATTTCATTTATTTTACAGCAGAGATTAAAAAATTAATAATGTACACAATACAGTACATTGCAACAATTATATCAGTATATTATATAAGAAGCCTTGGTAGCAGTTTGGCAGACAGCAACCACCCAGGGAGGTATGTACTACCGTACTGCCAAGTGAATGTAAAACGGAAGCTTGTACTTGTTTTACACGATGGTAAGATTGCTGGCGTCTTTTTTCTGTCTCATATACATGCAAGATTTCCTGTATACATTACTAAAGTTAAAAAGATACTTTCGTTTTTCTTTTTGGACCACCCTGCTTCGGTGGGATATGGCCGGTTTGTTGAAAGAAGAGAAGAAAGATTATGTAAGAATTACAGACTAAAGCAATTGCTGTATCACATATACACCCCTGGTTAATAACTTCATATTTACATCTTCCTTCAAAACCTAAGGTACATAGTACATTTTCAGTGCATCTACCAATGAATCTAACAATGGTAATTTGAAGTGGATATGTACAATTACTGCAGACCATATTATGAAAGCCTTTTAAAAGAAATTAGTGAGTTTATTAATGTCATCTGGGTTAATAATAATGATCAAATAATTTTAGAGCATATTTTTAACTATTAAATAACATAAAACTAAATTATCATCATTGCTAATTTCTTCCATAAACCACATGAAATGACTGATGGGAGGAGGATAATTTAAAAATATATTAGCCTGATTTTTCAGGCAGTGTAGAGGGGCTAGCATCCCTGCATACAAAGCAAGTGTGGTCATGTTTGCAAAGAAATACATACCAAACATGGACCAAAGAACAGCAAAGAGAGGTTCTTTGGAGTGATGAAGTCACTTTCACAAGTGACCTGTAACTGTGGTGGGAATACTTACAAACACCTAGGCAGTAACTTCTTAGACCAACACTACACCTGTGATACCACAAAACACCCTAAATCCCTAATGGTTTGGGCTTGTTTTAGTGGCAAGTTGATTGTGTTGCCTATAAGTCAATATAGGAACCAGAAAACTACCTAAAATTGTTTTGTGATCATTTGCCTGAATCTTTCAGTATGGTGCAAAGATTTTTATGTATGAGAGTTCTCTTTTCCCCACGATTAAATCAGTTGTTCAATGGCTTCATGACTGAAGTATCTTTCCTCAATGATTGGCCAAGAAACTTCCACAACTTAAATCCCGCTGATCTCTCGGCTGTGAGAGATCTACAGGAGGATCTACCTCCAGCTCCCTTCCATGGCTGGAAGTCACCATCCATGAGTTGTGGGAGGAATTTACCCCAAGAAACACTAAAAAATTTAGGGCAATTGCTTACCAGATAGTTAAAGGATGTCCTATGTGCAAGGGACGACCTACAAAATACTAAATCACTGGTAGTACTATATTTTGTGATCGTGGTTTGAATGTAGGCCAGCATACTTTCAGGACGAGCACTGTATACTGTACTCTACTCACTCATTGTGGCCCAAAATTAATTCCCTGTATTTCCCTGTAGTTTAGATTTGTTAATCCCTAACCACTTGGTTATTATTAAAACTTTTAATGGTCAAACTTAGACCATCAATATTATTAATTCAAGCTATTTTACTACTCTTACCTATTACCTGTAATCTTATGGTGGTTTGCAGGTAGACTGATATTATCAAAGTCACCCATGTGTAGATCACCTTTTTTACCTTTCCTATGTTACCCAGCCGCCTGTATATACGTACCTCTATCTACAGTTCTGCAAGATGCCAAATGTAATTTCATTCCTATAAAGCTAGGTGTAGGTTTCCACTTCTGCTAAACAGTAAGTACAACACTCTGACTACATTCTAATAACAACTGTCATCTTAAATTATTCGTAATTCTTTACTCTTCCCTATTTCAATTTTTTGAACTCATCGGCCATCTCCCACCAAGACAGAAGAAAGTCATTCAATCACCATTTTTCTAGACGTGTACTGACATCAAAAATCAAATTACCCTCAAACTACACTCAGACTACTACTTTCTTTCAATGCACAGGCCACATCCCACTGAAGCAGGGTGGCCCAAAAAGAAAAACGAAAGTTTCTCTTTTTAAATTTAGCAATGTACGTATACAGAAGAAGGGGTTACTAGCCCCTTGCTCCCGGCATTCTATTCGCCTCCTACAACATGCATGGCTTACAGAGGAAGAATTCTGTTCCATTTCCCATGGAGATAAGAAATAAACAAGAACAAGAACTTGTAAGAAAAGAGAGAAAACCAAGAGAGGTGTGTGTATGTATATGCTTGTAAATGCATGTGTAGTGTGACCTAAGTGTAAGTAGAAGTAGCAAGGCATACCTGAAATCTTGCATGTTTATGAGACAGAAAAAAGGCACCAGCAATCTTGCTATCATGTAAAGCAATTACAGGCTTCCGTTTTACACTCATTTGGCAGGACGGTAGTACCTCCCTGGGTGGTTGCTGTCTACCAACCTACTACCTAGAACATTCAGACTTGTACCTACATGATCCCATTCCTAAATTTTCAGGTTTCATTTAACTAATGAATTAATGGGTGTCATTTCCCTTCAAGTGAATGATCTTTCAATTATATTACTAGTGTGCACTCTGGTCAAAGTGTAAGAGTAATATCTATTATCCAGTACCTAGAAGCTAGTGCCATGGAGATATAATTGAGCAGATAGTTGGGGTTACTGAAGTGTTCAGCTTTGAACACAAATCTTTCTAAAGGGCAAAAGCCCAAGGTCTAAAATGAAAGATCAGATACCCAGGAGTCTCCACAACTGGGAAATA